AGCAAAACAATTGCCGCACCGATGGGGGAAGGTTGTCTTCCGCTAACAAGGTTATCATTAGCAATTAGGGAAGAAAAAATTCCGAAAACTATGCGTGAAGTTGCGGTAATATTTTATAATTTTTAATAATTTTGAATCTAGTATAAATATTGCCTTACAAACCAATTATCCACATTTATGTAGTTTATATTAGGTTTGGAATTCCGGAATCTGACAGCAGTAGTTCATAAAATACGAACTCATGTTCTCCCGTCAGTTCCAAGTTTCATAGACGTTGAGTTGCTAGTTATTAATGCAATCAATAAATTATTTGAAAATCAAAATGTTAAACTTCCGATATACACTGATATTAGACAACTCGATCATCTCAAATATGATTTATCAGTATTAAATGCACAATATTATGATAATTACTTGGATGAAGAAACAACAAACAATTCGAGCGATGATTTTTCAGTACTAATAATGAAAAGTTATCGTAAAGTTTTTTTTAGTCTTTGCATGGAGTTACTTAAGTATTCTGATAATGATAACCTTGTTAGCGGAAGACAACCTTCCCCCATCGGTGCGGCAATTGTTTTGCTTGCAATTGAGGCTACTGAAAAACCGAGTTTTGATGAATGGAAAAATAATCACAGACGTGCATCTGAAATTATTGGAAGAATATTTCAAATTGATCCAAAGTTGACAATGAATGATAGATATAGAGAGATGGTTAATTTGATGCATTCCAAGGTCAACGCTCTCCCTTGGAGTTCTCTTTCACAGGAATGTAAAAGCAGATGTTATATATTCATCACAGATGTAATACAGTTTCATAAATGGATTCTGAATTGCCGCGAAAAAGGTAGACAAAATGTTCGGCATTCTGATCAAGATGCTAATAATGAACTCATCGAAATCGAGACGAACAAAGACCTTGATTACAGAGACGTTGTCCAGGAACTAAGTAAAAAAAACGATGAAGCTGGTGTAACAAATTCAAGAGATTTAGAATTCTATTCCGATAGAGAGACTGATGAATCTGATTTCTTTTTGGATGACGATGAGTTAGAAGACTATGTACGAGATGAAGATGAGGTATAGATCTCATACTCTCGAGGATTTTACATTGTTTTTAACGTATATATTTATATTATTTATTTTTTGATATTTCATAAACAAAAAACGAATGCTTCCAACCAGATTGAACTCGCCAAGGAATCTTGGGAGCTTTATCATCAAGAAGATTCTAATGGTAAAGAAAAGCAATCGAAAGATGCGAAAAGTAAGCTGCCCACAAAGCGATGTAGAGTACTCCGTGAAAGAGGTATCTCTAAAAAGTCTAAGACAACCGATGTTAATAACAACAGGAATACACATCTGGAAACTGCTTTGGAAAACAAATCTGTAACACCAAAGCGCAAGTACACTAAGAAGGCAGATAAGATCGACGCGATACAGGAACGTGTTCAGATAGAATCCAGTACTTCTAAAATAAAACTAAACTTTGATCCTAATCAAATAAATATGGCTTTATTCGATCATATTTAATAATGTTGAACAGGCTTAAAAGGGTTTTAAATAGAATATATATCTAAATGCTATTGCAACCTTATTACGTACAAATTAGTGTTTTATTTCACATAACATTATTGTTACGGTGCTACTTGCCCGGTTAGTGATGTGACTAAATATTACTTTTTTGCTATCAGATTCGTGATACCCACATGAAACAAGCAACGGGTAAAATCACGTTTCGTATATTGTTTTCCCTAGTCATAAAACCACGCATAATTACATGGCATTTTAAATACATATACTGTACAGACGTATGTAATCTTTATATATTGCGGTATTACATTTTTCGCTTGTTGTGTCAAGTGTATCATACTTATTGCGTATTATTATTTTAACGCATCCTCTCTCTTATTATCAATCTAAACAATATCATTTCTTCACTTCACCGTTAGTTTATTTTCAGCCTTTAAATATTACCATTTCTCTCCACGACTCGTTTGCATTCAGCTCTTAATAAAATTTTCACTGGCAAATAAATTCAATTTTAATATCGCTGGACCGCAAAAGGGTTTCTCATTATTCTTACGTGAAGCACTACTTTATTTATAATATAGAAAGGCGTACGTAGAACGTACATGCAATCTAGAGAAGAAATACTAAATTAGAGTTGTATTTACGCTTTTTGGTTTGTTAATTAAAATTGTTTATAATGTCCGCACAACAATCACGACCTGAAGGGTACCGTATTAGTGCGCCAGATGGTACAGGTAGTCTTGGTGGTGCTGAAGCCACTATTAAACAATTACGATCGCAGAATGATCAGCTGTGGAAAATAATAGAGAAGCAAAAGACCATAATAACCAATCTACAAAAGGATAATCAAAAATTGTCCCATGAAAGAGATAAGCTTCTTTTAAGAATTAGAGACATAGATACTTTTGAACGTTCTGAGGAGAATATTATTAAAGGTGGTAATGAAATTAAAGTAATCTCGGACAATGTTAATAATAATACATCCACTTCTGATTCCATTAGAATACGAACCAGTACACCACCACCACATACATCACGTCTATCGAAATCGTTTCCTCAATTACAAAAACAACAGATAGAAACAGAGCTACTAACGCAAAACTCTCAATTACAACATCAAGATTCTGAAACTTTAATAATATCTGAAACTACTTCAAGTCTAAATGTGTTTAATGAATCGAATTCACGTAATCTTCCACCTGTTGTTGTTCATGAGCCTTCTCCAGAAAGATTAAACTTTGAGCATGAAAAGGATTCGGAACACCAACTTGATGAGACATCATCACGAAATGATAGTAAATCTGCATCAAGTCAAAATGACATTGTTACCTTAAATTCAACTAATACGATCAATCCTCGGCAGTCTTTGCTAGATAATAATATTTTAGGTTCACCTATAGATATGCCAATCTCGCTCAATTTGGACCAAAGTTCACAAAATTCTAGGCTACAACATACGCATTCATCTCATCAAAACCCACCTTCACCATCAATGTCAACTAAATCTTCAGAATCTGAAAGCTTAAGCAGCGGAAGTTGCAGTCGACATAGACGTCATAGCACAATACAAACTATCGATACTGAATTAGATATTTTAGAAGATACTGATGCTCATGTCCAGTTTCCTCAACCTCCTTTGAAAGATTCTTCTACAAAACCTTCAAACCAACATATTAATGTTCAAAGTTCAGAAAGTGATGAGATTTCTGACATTCCACAAGATTCATCTACTCAAAGTCTCAAAAAAGTTCCTGAGCCTTTAGGGTTAGCACCGTTAACGCAAAAGTTAGGAACGCCTCAACGTTCTCCTGGTTTGCCATCCTCCCCCAAGGCTTACATGTATAGCAATGATGAACAGACAGCTCAGAGAACAAGCAATGAAAGTGACGCAACTGCATCATCGAGAAATGTTATAATTAATCAAGATAATTTGAACTATAATAAATATTTGCAAGGTTTTGGACACAACCAAGTTGTAGAGAGGTCACAACCAATTAGATCACATTCATTACCCACTAGTGATGATAAGACATCTCATGAAAAGTCTGAAGATGAAAGATCATGGAGAGATTCTCAATCCAGTAATAATGAATCTTTGGATACTAGTCTAAAGGACAGATCACTTAGAGCAAGTAGATCGTTTAGTCACGTTCCCACAGGACCGCGATCCCGTATATCAATGATGCCGCCTCCTCACGGGGGATATCCAGAATTCCGAAATCCTAATCCCAATAATGTATCTTTACCTAACCAGGTGCAAATCGATAATCCCTCAGTAAATCTACCACAAGGACAACAATGGCAATCTTTTCAGTCACATCCTCAGCAAACTACTGCGTCTTCATCACAACAGTCACAATTATCGCCACGTTCAGATACTTCTACACCTTCGATCACTTCAGATGCTATATCCGGAATTGCTGTAAAAGTCGTTGGTAGTAATAAAAAAACCAATGACAAGGGAAAAGAAGTGTTGACATTCATTATTTCTGTTGGGCAGGCAAGAGTAGTTGATGGGCGCATTGTTGGAATGGAAAAAGAACTGTGGAGGGTTGAGAAATTTTACTCGGATTTCTTATCGCTAGATGGAAAGGTATATTGTTATGATTTTGAATTCATTTGTCTAGATTTATTGGTTTATTATATATAAGTATATTTATTTATTTCAAAAAAGCTAAAGCAACGACATAGCAAGAACACAATAAACAAAATTGGTAAATTACCGGATAAACATTTATTCTATAACAATGCACCCAGCAAAGTTGACCAGCGGAAGGTTTGTTTGATATTAAGTATTACAAATATCTTATTTCCAAATTTGCTTGAAACTGAATAGTAATTGTTATTGTTGTCACAAAATGCTGTAGACCGCCCTTGAACAATACCTTCAACATATAATATCGCTGCCTTTGAGAGATAACAAAGATTCCAACGATTTATGCAAATTTTTAAGCACAAACGTTATTGAACAGGACGATAAGGATTATCAGGTATTTTATTTAGTTAAATTCCTAATATGTTGGTTGCTTCTACCATTATCATTAATGGAATAACGTTCAAAATTAGCAAACTGGCTATAAAGAAGGTTACCTTACTAAGAAAGGAAAGAGTTTTGGTGGATGGAAATCAAGATATTTTGTGTTGAAATCACCAGTTTTAGAATATTATGAAAGTGTGAGAACATATTCTATTTATTACGCATATTCTTAAATTTGTATATCAGCTAGTATGTTTAGTATTAAGTTATCTTTTACCATTATATAGAAAGACGGGAGTCATCTTGGATCAATTCGTTTAACACATGCTCAAATTGGCCGGCAACAATCTTCGAATGATACAGATAAGGATAACGAAAATTCTTATCGACATGCATTCTTAATTTTGGAACCAAAACCTGGGTCAAAAACACAAAATACACGTCATGTATTATGTGCAGAGAGCGATGCAGAAAGGGATGAATGGGTAGAAGCTTTATTGCAATATGTCGGAGTTACCGAAGAAGAGGCACAGAGAAGACGACAAAAGAAAGAAAAGGAAAAACAAATAAAAGATGTTAATAAAGCTGAAAGAAAAAAAGGTAATAATGATTCAATATCGAGTACAAGTACGATACGTAGTGAAATATCAATATCACAAAATGACCAATGGAATGAATCGAAGAATGTACAGCCCACATTAGGTGTTTCAGTTAATCAGATTCAAAAGCGTTCCAGCATGTTGGAGGAAATTGAACGTATAAGGAAATATAGTGGAACACCAGAACCTAGGGATGTTTCACCTTCATCTTCGCAAGTTGTTGCCGTTGTTAGTAGCAATAATTCATCTAGTACTAGGCGTGACCGACCACATGACGATCAAACTGCTGAAAAAAGAAAAAATTCGCGCAAGACTTTCTTTGGCAGCATGTTTGGCAGCAAAGATGATAAAAAAAAATACAATGAAATACGACCTGATATCTCAAAAATAGTTTTCGGTATTCCTTTGGATCAAGCAATTGCAGTTGCGCGCATAAAAGAAGGGTACGAACTCCCTGCTGTCGTT